TGGGGCACAAGCGTCCTGAGTGCCCCCTGAACAGTGCCAACCAGGCTCAGTCCTGGAGGAGACCAGTTAACGGAAACCAGCGCCCACCTCAGCCTGCTGCTCACTGCCTAGAGCAGGAGGAATTTTGGGGCATTCTGCACGAGGCAGACCCAGTGCAAGCGGCTCACCAGGATAATCGCCAGCAACATCGGCAAACTGTGAAGCTAAATGGCAGAGTGGTGAATGGGCTGAGAGACACAGGAGCCACGATGACACTGCTCCAAAAGAACTTGGTCTCAGAGCATCAACACACTGGAGACACTGTGGCAGTAAGGGTAGCAGGGGGTGCCGTGTTTCGCTTACCTGTTGCCCGAGTACATTTGGATTGGGGAGTGGGCGCTAGGCATGTGGATGTGGGGGTGATGAAGGACTTGCCCGCAGATGTTCTTTTGGGAAACGATTTGGCCCTTTGGTTTCAGCCTATGCTCCGATGGGCCCTGCAGACGTGAACCCAGTGACCACCCGTGCCCAGACCCGTGCTGCCGGAACCAGCCCACTTGCTGACGAGACCCAGGTAAGATCTCCTTCCCCGACTGATACCCCAGATCAGGTCCCCTTAAGCTGGGATTCCCCAGAGGAGTTTGGGAGGGAAACCCGGGCGGATCCGACCCTCCAAAGATACAAGGACAGGGCAGAGGCTGGGGAGGAAGGAATAGATGGGGAACGGTATGAGTGGGTGGGGGACAGGTTATAGGATCCCTAAACCTTCCCAGAAGAGTGTTGCCTCTCCGCCGAATCGCCAGTTAGTGGTACCTGCAAAGTACCGGCAGGAGATTCTGCGGATAGGGCATGATGTTCCTTTAGCTGGACATCTAGGGTCCCGCCGCACAGCCTATAGGATTTCACAGAACTTCTTTTGGCCAAACTTTAACCAGGCTGTGCGGATGTACTGCAGCACGTGGACACATGTCAACGGGTAGGAAAGCGGGGGGACCACCCTAAGGCTAGGCTATTATCGATGCCTATTATAGGGGAGCCCTTTGCCCGCATAGCCGTTGACATTGTGGGTCCACTGGCCAGGGCTAGTCCATCCGGTAAGAAGTATGTTCTTACCGTGGTGGACTATGCCACCCGCTATCCAGAGGCAGTAGCGCTGTCTAACATAGAGGCAGAGACGGTTGCTGATGCCCTGGTTAGAATTTTTACTAGGGTCGGGTTCCCTAAGGAGATCCTCTCCGACCAGGGAACCCAATTCACCGCTGTGCTCACCCAGCAACTGTGGAAGGTGTGCGGCATTAAGCCGTTACTTAGCTCACCCTACCACCCACAGACTAACGGTCTCTGCGAGCGCTTTAACGGTACCCTCAAACAGATGCTGAGGACCTTTACAGACACTTGCAGAGACTGGGAGAGATTCCTGCCTCATCTATTATTTTCTTATAGAGAGGTGCCCCAGGAATCTACTGGGTTCTCCCCCTTTGAGCTGCTGTATGGGAGAAGGGTCCGCGGACCCCTAGATCTCATTAGAGGCCACTGGGAGGGGGAGACGGAGCAAGAGGGGACCCCCATAGTGCCATATGTTCTGGAACTCCGGGACCGCATGGAGAAACTGTCCCTGATGGTAAGGGAGAATCTCCAGGCGGCCCAGGGGAGACAGAAGAGATGGTACGATCAGGGTGCCCGACAGCGGGTCTTCCAGGTTGGGCAAAAGGTATTGGTGCTTAAACCTGTGAAGGCCAACAAGATGCAAGCATCTTGGCAGGGCCCGTACAAGGTAGTGGCGCAGATCTGCGACACTACTTACTTGATAGCCAGCTGTGCAGATGAGAGGATCCAGCGGTCCTTTCATGTGAACATGCTGAAAGAGTACCAGGAGAGACCTGAGAACATTGCAGCAGTGTGTGCCCCAGCTGCAGATGATTCTGAGAATTTACCCCTTCCAGATCTATTAGAAAGGGATTCCCAGACTGACCTTACTACCTTGGTACAGCTAGGGGACCGGTTGAACCCCACAGAAAGGGTACAGGCGCAGCAGTTGTTATGGGAGAAGCAGGCGACGTTCTCCCAGGAACCAGGTTATACCACCCTAGCTGTGCATAAGGTAGAGACCCCTGGACAGACCCCGTTACGACAGCCCCCCTACCGTATCCCTGAAGCAGTCCGTGAAGGAATGCGGAAGGAGATACAGGAGATGACCCAACTTGGGGTTATCGAGCACTCCGACAGCCCTTGGGCCTCGCCTGTAGTCCTGGTGCCAAAGAAAGATGGGACCACCCGGTTCTGTGTGGACTACAGGCGACTCAACGAGCGGACCACCACTGACGCCTACCCAATGCCCCGGGTAGACGAATTACTAGATCGTATTGCCAGGGGGCGATATCTGACCACCATAGACCTGTGTAAGGGCTACTGGCAGATCCCCCTGGCCGAGGATGCTATCCTCAAGTCGGCATTTGTCACCCCATTTGGCCTGTACCAATTTAAGGTCATGCCTTTTGGGATGAAAAATGCACCGGCTACTTTCCAACGGATGGTGGATAGACTCCTGGATGGCTTCCAAGAATTTGCCTGTGCATACTTGGACGACATTGCGATCTACAGTGGGTCCTGGGAGGAACACCTGGTACATGTAGGGGTAGTGCTGGATAAGATTAGGGCCGCTGGCCTGACGTTGAAGCCAGAAAAGTGTCATCTAGGTATGGCTGAAGTGCAGTACCTGGGTCACAGAGTGGGGTGTGGGAGCCAGAGACCAGAGCCAGCCAAGGTAGAAGCAGTGGCTAACTGGCCCACACCCACTACTAAGACCCAGGTATTGGCCTTCTTGGGGACGGCAGGGTACTACAGACGTTTTGTCCCTGACTACAGCGCTATCGCTAAGCCCCTGACAGACCTGACGAAGAAGAACTTGCCTAAGCAGGTCCTGTGGTCTCCGGCTTGTGAAGCTGCGTTCCAGGCACTGAAGCAGGCTCTTGTGAATGCCCCTGTCTTGGCTGCCCCAGTCCCTAACAAACGCTTTCTCGTCCATACAGATGCTTCCATGTATGGACTGGGGGCTGTGCTGAGCCAAGTCGGGGAAGATGGAGGAGAGCACCCTGTCGCATATCTCAGCAGAAAGTTGTTACCCAGAGAAGTGAGTTATGCGGCAGTGGAGAAGGAATGTTTGGCCTTGGTCTGGGCACTGAAAAAGTTAAGCCCCTATTTGTATGGGCAAGAGTTTTCCCTTGTGACTGATCACAACCCACTCGTTTGGCTTAACCGGGTCTCAGGAGACAATGGGAGACTGCTGAGATGGAGCTTGGCACTACAGCCCTACAATTTTACCATCAGCTACAGACCCGGTAAGCTAAACGGAAACGCAGATGGGTTGTCACGACAAACAGACGTTTCCATCCCCTCGTAGTTCGGTCATCCCCAAGTTGACCCGCCACAGGGTCAAGCCGGGTCTGCCGGAGTGTCCCACAAGGAGGGAGCCGTGTGACAGAACCATCTGTCTGCTGGATTTTTGCCCGTTCGTCTGTTTGTCCCCGTTCGTATGAATGGCTGGTTTCTATAGCCCAGCCATTCGAATGACTCTTTTTCCCGAACAAAACCGCCGAACGAACGGCCACCCAAGTGAGGAGTGTGCTGCAGGTTAACGAAGTGATCACCATTATAACGTTGTGGGTAACCGCAGACACTTCTCAATTAAACCGAATTCAGGGTGGTCGTCGTTCGTATGTCGACCACGAGGCAGCGGCCATTTTAAATCATGCGAACGCTCAGCGGTGTTTGGCTCTATTTCTATGGAACGGAACACGGACACTTTTTCTGTCGAACACCGCTGAAACAAGGGAACGCCTGGCTGCCTCCACGAAAGCATGCGAACATCGGCCGTTCGGGAGATTGAGAACACATAAAAGACTTAACCCAGATAGCCCACCCATGGAGTCATTCGTGTACCGAAGGACTGTAAGAACTTTGACTCCATGGCGATTGAACTATGTGTGTGGGATCTGAGCGCTATTCGCCAATAATCTGCACTCAGATCCAG